GAGTATTGGAGAAATGGGTGTGGCCACTGAGGGGTGTGGTTACAGATGGGTGTGGTCACTGAAGGACACTGTAATGCTTTCCCGCACAGGGTGCCTAAAGGCCTAAGGCCAGCCCTGGTGGCGACACTACAAATCCCATCATCTGCATCTGGGAGTCATGCCTGTGACTGTCAGAGTCTTGCAATGTCTCATGGGACTTGTAGTTCTACAATAGATGGCATGCCAAAGTTGCCTACCCCTACCTTAGAGGATCAGGAAGGATTTGTTTCCCTGTTGGTGCAAATTAGACCATGCTTTTTAGGGCCAGTTCGCACCATATGCAGTTGTGATGCAGTCCGTTTATTTGACTGCTGCAGTCAAAATACATCACAATGCTTTCCTATGGGCTTTCTTGTGCTTTATTCACACCATTGCAGTGTGAATAAAGCACAAGACAAGAAAGCACAAGAAAGACCATAGGAAAGAAGTGTGATGTATTTTGACTGCAGCAGTCAAATAAACGGACTGCATCACAACTGTATATGGTGTGAACTGGCTCTAAAGGTTTGTATGCCTTTTTCTCAGCCAACTGTGAGGTTTAGGGTTTTGTGAATACAGGTTGTCGATTTATTTATTCGTTTTTCTGTTGGTCGAACTTAATGGATATGTGTATTTTTTCAACCTAACTATTAGGGATGCACCGATACTTTTCAAGTACCAGTGCCGATACTTGGCATTTTCATGAGAACTACCAGCAGCTGGGACCTGGCTCTGGCGCTCCACCACTGTCCTAAAACCATTAGTCTGTATTGTTTTAGAAAAACTGTCACATGATAATAAACAAAAATGTATCAGTACTCGTACTTGTAAGTACTCGGCAAGAACCAGTACTCGTACTCGCAAAACTGGTATCTGTGCATCCCTTTATTTATACTTATAAAATACAAAATCATACATTATAACAGAGATGTACAAATCCCAGGAGCTCCGTGTGCTCCTTACAAATGACAGCTGCCTCCTAATTTTTGAATTTTTCTCTAGTCTAGTCTTGGAGCTCAAAACTATCGGTACATTTATTCGTACTTGTACCGAGTACTGTACTTGGTATCTGTGCAACCCTACTAACTATGTAACCCTAGTTTTCAAGTGGCATGGTGATGGCTGCTGGAAGATAGTAGCATCTGTCAGTAGCACACAGGACTACTGTAGAACTGCTTTAAATTGAACCTGTCATAGTAAAATGTGACCAATCATGTCTATTCACTGCACTGTCTAAAAGGCTACATTGACTTTGAGTTGGACCCACATTGATC